TAGTGTAGTTAAAGCCCTGCCTCGAGACAAAATAGTTCTCTGGTAAATTTGCTAGGAAAGGTGATTAGCCTGGGTATGGGAGCTTCCTTTGGGCTTCTCTTGTCTTCGTAAAATTCCCCCCTCCCGCCTTCTCTCCCCTTGAAACACCTGATACTCAGGCTATAACGTGATCAAACAAATTGCTTTTAATGGGTAGCATCACGAAATTTGGGGAAACCCATTGAAAAAATTCATATTTTTAAGTTCTAAGATACATGTGCTGTCGGAGCTAAGCGTTTGTCTTTACCCTCCAGAAGATGATGAAAAAGACGAGAAACAAAAACAAAAGTAGTAAACAGGGAGGTTTATCGGCCGTTTAAAGTACCAGCTAAATACTAGCTATTTTGTGCCTCATAAATAATGCGTGGGTGATGAGTAAACGTCTTTAGAATTCATGCAGAATAACTAAGCAATGAGGAGATGATAGAGACTAGGCCTTGGCGGATTGTGCTCCGAAAAGTGGCATATTATCCTACTAGCGGTGCTCGAAATTTTGCCAAATTATGCCAAAATTTTGCCAGATTTCCCAAATTATGCTCCTGATTTCCGAAATTATGCTCACAAATGACGTAGATTCTCTACATATAAGCGCGCAATAACGACACCAAATTATGATGTTTTTCAAATAAACTGTTGTTGTAAATTTAGAATATAGTACTATCTTGATTTAAACTAACTCAAACTATAGCGAACTACAACGTTGAAAGTGTCAAGCCACGAAGTCAATCAACTTATTTTGTCTTGGCAGTTCTGAGTTCTTTCAGCACCAATAATTGCCTGAATAAACATGGATAAGAATAGTGTACACAAGTCAACATCAGCAATTATATTATTGTCAGTACTGCAACATTACGCTGGCCTGGAGATAGTCTGCCAGAGCGCTGTCCTGCTGATCGCTAAATGCCGCTGAGAGTAGGGAGAAGGCTCGCTTAGCTGCAGCAGAGGAAGGCTGCACCAATAGAACCTGCTTCCCTGCGGCTGATTTAATTTTTTATTTCTGTAGGTAAATACACCATATTTACTAAATTTTATGAATTTATGCTCCAAAAAGTGCTAAAATTTGCTCATGATTATGCCGTGGCAGTGGTCGTTTAAAAATGATGCTTTTTTGCTCCAATTATGCCAAACATTTTGCTAGCACAATCCGCAAATGCCTAGTCTATGGACCGGGGGTCAATGTTTTCGGGTTCCCCGTCTGAATGAAGCGTGAATGAAATGTCTGAAAATGGTTTAAGCATGGCGGGTGATTTACGCCTGTGTTCATTGTTTCTTCTCGCCGAAAAGAATGTCTAGTACTCTTATGACAGACTCGTGACTTTGCTGTAGTTTACGTCTAGCGCACATTTAGCCGCATTATTAAAAACACACAACGCGCAAAGGGTAGTTTGTGTAGGCTACGAAATTATGGTTGTTCGTAGGGGGAAATGTTAAAAAAGTTTATCAACCTTCTTGGGTCTTTTCGGAAACAACAAGTCTAACTTATAGTAAAGGTTACTGCGTATCAGATATTGTGATGCATAATCTACAGGGTACATGAAGGTACAATAACGATTTGCCGGTCCGATTTTGCAAAGAAGACATATTCTAACATAAAAATCGGCCTAATTTAACATTTGGGTAGAATCTCCTTGAGACGGAAAGATTGACCTATAAACAGAAACTGTGAACTTGACGCAGCCAAAGAGTTTCGTGAATGAAAACCAGAAAACAATAAATTTCATGGGCAGTAAACTTCTTAAAGGGGTGTGGTGAAGGGAGAGGGGAACAATGATGCACACGTATGGATAAGAATTCTTTTCCCTGTTACTGTGATCGAATTTGATTTTTAACTTTTGTTTTAAAATCAGCATTAATTTCTGGATTGGAATAGGGTGAACCTTATTCGTTTTGTAATGAAAAGTCTAAAAATGGACGCTTCGCTTTTAGCCTTGGCTAAATCTATATATTATTTGTTGTTATACAGTTAGAATGAGAAATCAGCTAAAATCTTAAGCAATACCAGACGAGTATAATTAACTGCACCAAGAGCCATTATGGCTCTTGACTGCACTTTGTACAGTAACAACAACCCTTACTAGTTTTGCCTCTTACGGTTTTAAATCGTGAGTGGCCTGCTATCCCAGCCAAGAGAGCTACAACCCTGGTCAAAACTCTTGGGACGCTAACGCAATAGCTCGTCAAATTGAGGCATCTTCCCTCCCCCCTTCCCCCTCGGTGCTGAGTTGACGTTATGTGCTTGGGGGAGAGGGGGACAGCAGAAATAGCCCTTTATAACAACATCCCCAAGATTTTTTAAGAGGAAGAATATGAGTTAATTTAGCAAAGTGCGTATTTGTGCCTATTTTCCTCAAGTGTCCCAAGACGTTTTGACCAGGGTTGTAGTACAGAAAATCAATACAAATATGTATCAAATTTGAATCTGCGTTCCTGCATGCGTGGTGAGCAGTGAATTTTTTTTTACAATAACCTCTTTGTATTCGGTCAGATTGAAAAATCTTTGAATGGAAAAAATTGCTTTGAAGCCGACACTTAAATCAAATGTAAGAAGACTGAGCAGGTAAAAATTTCAAAACTGCCTTGCGTATGAATTCACTGAAATCTACAACTACCAACGCATTCAACTTTCGAATGATGGAATCTTGGGGGGGGGAGGGGGGGGGAAAGCTGGACCTGGCTTGACTGTAATGAGATAAGTATTAAGAGCATGGTTATTTATTAACACGCAAATTCATGACCCCCATGTACTGTCGCGCTTTGTAATAATCGTCGCACTTTGTAATACCTGTCGCACTTTGTAATAAAATTGTCACACTTTGTAATAACTGTCGCACTTTGTAATAAAAAAAGCTGTCGCACTTTGTAATAACACTTGTCGCACTTTGTAATAAACTTGAAATGGATAGTCGGAGGACAAGTAAAACTAGTAATAAGTGTCATCATCAACAACAACAACAACGACAATAATAATAATAAAATATTTTTAAAGTCTTACTACCAGCACAGGCAACTAGAAAACCTATGATTTCGTTACCTGCGAGGTATTACTTGAGACATATATAGAGATATTACTTGATTTGTATTTATTACCATGAATAAGCTATACTGTATTTCATAAAACCAAATGAAAATCACAAACTCAGAGCCCAACCCGGTACCACAATCATTGTCATCATCACTATTATTTGTCACTATTATTTTCGCACTAAAATGTTCTTTAAAACATTGTATATCACGTCATTGTGCCACGATAACCACTACTAATGAATGTTGTGGAAATTTCGAATACGCTGGAACCTACATGAAACGGCATCATTGTGATAAATACACAAAACCAGTGTTAGATCTGGATATATTTAAAGGCTACGTGCTGTGTACAGCTGAACATTGTTCTCTGAGATCGCGTAAACCTAAACTTTACGGAAATATTAAAAGCAGATACCCTAAGATTACAGCAGCTATAGGAAAATTATATTTTTGAGTAGAAAAATCTCATAAACGGGCCACAAATTCAACATGAATACGCGCGAACTGAACAAATTGTCTGTTGTACATTTTAAAGGTTCTGCTCAACTTATACAATTTTCCCTTGCTGAACATAAACTGTACCGAGCCGTATCTTGGTCCGTTATATATAAGCTATATCACGGTTCAAATTTTAAACTGTAAGATCCTTGAAAGAGTTCTCCTCAATGGAGCAATATGTAAAAGGTTTTCAAAGGTTTCACGCTGGTGAAGATGTGCGGCCTGTCACCTCTTGCAAGTTTTTACTTTATTATTATTATTATTATTATTATCATTTTTATTGTAGTTGTTGTTGTTGTCCATGATGACACTAATTACTGGGTTTACTTGTCCTCCGATCATCTATTTCAAGTTTATTACAAAGTGCGACAGCTTTTTTTTATTACAAAGTGCGACAAGTGTTATTATTACAAAGTACGGCAGGTATTACAAAGTGTGACAACTTTATTACAAAGTGCGACGATTATTACAAAGTGCGACAGTACACCCCACCGTGGCAGAAGGGGAGGTTGATGGAACCCCTCCCTGGAGTTTTTGATATGTTGCAGTATTTCGAAACGATTTTGCCTTCAGTGAAAAGCCTTTGATTTTCTCAACAAGATGAGGTATATTTTATGGGTGGTGGGGCTACTGGAGGCACCAAACATAGTCGCCATCTTGGCCGTCTTCTTGGATATAACCAAGAATTAGAAATCAGGTAAAAACCGGGAGATAATTTTTTGGGCTTGACATTTGAAATAACACATATTTCATTTACCTATTCATTCATTCATTCATTCATTTTTGCCATTATCCACATACTTTGAAACTAGAAAATTTCATTTAAGTTTACCGAAACCTTTATTTTAACTATCTTTTGGTCATCTTTTTTCCAAGTGGCGGGTTTTTATCCTTACGTTGAAGCTTATGTTGAGTGGCATTACCACTCAAACACGTTGTTGAATACTTCAGTCAAAAAGCTACTAGGTGTAATTCCTTTCGTCTTGTAAGTTACTGGTGCCCGTGTAATGAAGAAATATAACGACAGGGAATAAACTGAATCCAAATCCAAAAGGCGTGATTGCTAACTGAGGATACTAAAAAGACTTGACTGATCTTGACTGCTTCCTAGTTTTGGTGCTATTGTTTTACTGTACCAAGATCTAACCTATTCCCTTTATATGATTTTTGCCGTTGTCTGAAGAATATCTAGCTTCGTTGCCACATGTATTGTTGTTATCATGCAATCCACCAGTGCCAAACCCGATTCTAGAGCCACAATTTCCGCAATTTTTTTCGTTGTTGCCGAGGAAACCGATTCTTGCTTCTGAGTGATCTTTACCATCAAGTTTCTTGTTACTCTTGGCATTAAATCCTTCCTTGTTACAGTTTAAGTGTAAAGAGGCCTCAGAACCAATAAGGGACTTCCACGTGTCACGACGCAGTGAGGTCTTGCGGTATTAGCCATCAGCGATCAGAGAGTACAAGGAGTTCGCCTCCTTGTTGATGAAAATAAACCTGATCTGCTGGCCGATCTTCATACCGAGGCAGATCTTGGAGAAAGATGTGTTCCAGTAGGAAGGTAGTTTAGTCTCCTGTGAGTCAAACCCAGTCTTCCCTTCGTCAAGGTTAAAGGTTTCTTTGTTGCTCCAGAGACTGGCGTCGAAGTGAAAAGTTTGCTGTGATAAAATTGTTAAGAACAACAGTCTCCACCATAGGTAAAGAATGATTTGATTCAAGTATGGTCGGAAGGTTATTTCGCCTGTACATCTAGTAACTGACTCGTCCCCAGTCGTCTCAAGAGAGACGACTGGGGACGAGTCAGATCTTTGGATCGTGAATCTACTGAAACAATTATTCATGCTTTTGTGATTACCAACTTGGATTACTGTAATGCGATTCTATATGGACTACCTAAAGTTCCCTTTAACCGCCTTCAGCTCGGTTCAGAATAGACCAGCGCGCATCGTAACAATCACAAAGAAACTGATGAACACATAACACCCAGCTTAATAGACTTACATTGGTTGCCTGTTGAATATCGTATTATTTATAAAATTTTATTGTTAGTATATAAGGCTATCAATGGACTTTCACCAAGTGATATATCCAATTTGCTCAGTTTTTGTAGCAGCTCTTACTCTTTGCGTTCTTGCTCGAATAAGTTGCTTCAAGTCCCGAGGTCTAAGCTAAAGTCTTCTGGCGATCGAAGATTTCTATAGCAGGACCTAAATTATGGAACAGCATACCCGCATCACCAGGAGCCCATCAAATTGGGCTCCTGCCCCTCATAAATTTTACATATCGTGAAAGTGACTCTCATCTGAAAATAAACCCCTAAAAATCAAGTGTTTGAAAATGAACATCCAGTAAAATGGCCGCCTCCCCCCTCCCCCCTCCCCTCCCGCCGGCTTCTCCCTCAGGTAATAAACGACCGGCCCCTTAAGATAGCTTTCGTTTAGCGCCAAAAGTAAATTTGCCCAGATCAGTTTCCTGTCACTGCACCAAAATGTATCCCATTGCCTTAATATGCTTATCGCCATTATCTGAATTATATGAAGCCTCGTTTCCACATGAGTTGGTTTTATCATGCTTTCCACCAGTGCCAAATCCAATTCTAGAGTCGCAAGTGGCGCAATTGTCTTGTTCGTTACTAATGATACCGATTCGTGCTTTGGAAAAATCAGGATTACCACTAACAGCATTGAACCCTTCCTTGTTACAGTTGTACTGCAAGGAGGCTTTAGAACCAATCAGCGACTTCCACGTGTCACGACCCAGCAAGGTGTTGCGGTATTGCCCATCAGCGATCAGAGAGTACAAGGAGTTGGCCTGCTGGTTGATAACAATAAACTTGGGCTGGTTGTCATTGATCTTCATACCGAGGCAGATCTTAGAGAAGGATGTGTTCCAGTAGGAAGGTAGTTTAGCCATTTGCGAGTCAAACCCAGTCTTCCCTCCTTCAAGGTTAAAGGTTTCTTTGTTGCTCCAGAGACTGGCGTCGAAGTGAAAAGTTTGCTGTGATAAAATTGGTAAGAACAACAGTCTCCATCATAGGTAAAGAATGATTTGATTCAAGTATGGTCGGAAGGTTATTTCGCCTGTACATCTAGTAAGGCTCCATTATCTTGGGATCGCAGAAATATTGCGAAACTCTTAATTTTATCAACAAACGTTGGATCCCGCTACAATCCTGCTGTGGTTTGTCTCATTGTCTCATGATCAGATTACTTCGGATCATCGTTTGAGGCTCTTGCTGTGTAAATGAACTTCGTGTACTTTTACTAGTAAGAATAGGGCATATAATTTTTGATAGTATAAACGCGTGGAGCAGTTATCCAGAAATTTTCAGCCTTTCTCAAGCTTTAGAAATTTCTAGGCAAGAGATGATCCTTCGAACAGTTTTGGCAAGGTTTAAAACCTCATGTAAACTAATATAATTCACCGCTTTCATATGGGAGATTTGTCAAGGATAAGCAATTTAAGTACTATTTATGCCGACCCCCGGATACTAACTGTAAATTAAGGTTGTTACTTGCACTGGTTAAAGTTTAATACGCTGTTAATTCGCTGAACTTCGCTGAAAGCAGGGCCCTATAAGCTCTCGTTACTAATACGATGTAAAAAGTTCTTGACACTGTCCACCTCAGTTCTTTATAGTGTCTAAAAACTGCAGGAGACTGGCGTTTATCGTGGACGCAATTTTCTAAAAAAGTTTTCCTCCTGTGCAAAGCGTTCTAAAGGGAAATAAGCCCCTCGGACATTTTTAGAAAAATCATTTAAATAGCACTCCTGACTCCTATTGAGAATTACCGCTTAAAGAATCAAGTTCGCGGTATTTAATAACCATTTTTTTTTCACTTTCGTTCCCGAACTTTTAATCAAACTACTGAAAAGTCTACCTTGTTGCCATCCATCTTCATGACCGGTGTCCATCCTCCATTTCCACATCCAAAATCTCCCATGTGACAGAGAACGGGAATTTTTTTGGAATCAAGGAGAAGAGTGATCAACTGAGTCACGTTTAACCTATACAAAATGAAATCTCATTTAATTTGTTTTTTCCATATTTTGACTGTCGAATAAAAAAAGGGAATGTTACTTAAAGAGCTCTGTCACGATTGCCTAGTTTATTTTGTTATGAAATATCTCCTTGTCTGCCGCCAATTATTTCAATGTATTTTGCCATGTAACTTTAAAAAATCATATCTCTGGTGTTATTTACAGTTCAATATCAAGCTATACCTCATTGGAAAGGGAAAAGAATACCCTTTCGAAAAAAAAATATTTCGGTCATAGGAAACCCATAATATTCCGCCACAAAAAAATTAAAAAAGCATATTTTGCATAAAATTTTTTTAAAATTTTAAAGATTGTCATTTAGCTAGGAAACTTCTTTATTTTGGGTGATATGGTGGCAAGAAATATTTTTCATCAATATGTAAGTAAAAAAACCCGAAAATCGTTCTAAAATATGGAGCGACTAGAAATTTCCTACAAATTTTTTTCTGCACGCTGTCATGATTATGCTAATTGGATTATCATAATTAGCATAATCCTTTGGCGTCACCTCGTGACCCCATGTTTACTTCACTGAGACGCTTTGTTTCCTCGATTCCCAAAAAAATATCGAGTTAGGGACAAGCAGACATGAATTTGCTGATAGAATTCATCAAAATAAGCAAGAATTTGACAGCGAAAAGCGAAGCGAAGGCAAAACGGGAAGGAAATCGTCGCCGTTTCAAGAACATGTGGCACAGAGTGGGCGATCGGCGATTTGCATGCACAGATTCTAATTGTTTCCTAACCTCGATTTTCGCGTTTATTTTGCTTGTTATCCTCCAAAATCCTTCAGAATAGTTTGTTTGAGTTGTATTTGGTTGACATTCGTCTATACAAGCTTTCATTATTCGCAAAACCGGCTCACAAAGATTCCCCGCGACTCGCCATAAAATTCAAAATTTTCGAAAACCCGGTGTGTGACGGTCAAAAGTCGACAGGGGCTGGAACTAGGCAGGTGATTGGCTAAATCTATTAACTTCCTGTGTGCCAAATTTGGGAGCAATCGGAAGTAACACAATTTTTTGCGAAATTTCTTTGGTCACCGTTCCTGAAGCTCCGATTTCGGCGACCCCGGAAGACGAAGTGATATTGCCAATTACTCTTTCAAAGTAATTTTTTTTATTGGCTTATTGACTTCCATAGCGCAAAAGAGTCTTTTGCGCTATGGAACTCAATAAGTCAACAAGAAATTACTTGCGAATGACAAAACTATTCTGTTGTCCAATAAATATGCCTCCCGGTCATAAACATTACAGACTTCAAAAATGAGTTTTGAATAACTCTACTATGCCAACAAGTTTTCAAAACCCACAATTGCAATCCATTTTAAACCTTTTTAAAGTGTTTTTTATCCGTGCCTTTATTTTGCATTTGTGGCTGTTTTAATGGTGTAGGAACAGCCCCATCGAGACTCAATATTTTATTGTTTCTATTTAATTTTATTATTATTTAAATCAGTAGTGATACTCACTTTTCCTTGAGCTGATCATAAAGGACTTGACATGACTTTGCAACTGAAAAAAAATTTGAAACATAAACGCAACTTAGATTTTCCCTTACTTTACCAAGAAACGATAATTAAGGGAGGAGGAGGGATAAAGGACAAGAGCAAATTCAAACCACAGGTTACGGCACTTTTGCTTTTACGGGTCTTTGCCTTTTTATGTGATACAGATAGCCTGCGTGGCAGGCGTTCGAAAGGGAAAGGGAAGGGAGGAGGGGAACGTCTGCAAGGAAGCCATTAAACCACAGGTTACCCACTTTCCCTTTATGGGCCTTTGCCCTTTTATGGGAGACAGACTGCTGGTCACGTCTTAAGTAATAACCTGTAATCTTTGGGGTGTAAACTACGTTTGGGTTAACAAATTCACACCACATCCAGGCACTTTAACTGCCCGTTCGTTTCTTTAGCTACGTTTCTTGTACCACTTGTGACGTCATCAGTTTTCTTTTAAATTTTTTCCCCAAAATGAAGCCAGTAGAAAAGTACGGCAGAAGAAAAGCAAAAGAGGCGGAGAGGAGAGAAAGTGACAGGTAAACTTGGGGGGGGGGGGGGAGTCAACAGTTTTTGTTGAAAAGAAAACGATTCAAACTTTGACGGTCATGTCAAATTAGTAATTTGACAGCAGCCAGCGGCGGTTTTGTTCAACTTGATCGGTTTTGGCCAGATGGTGACAAGAGAGGAATCTACTTTTGAGAGTACTGACAAATTTATCTGCCGATGCTTCAAAGCAGGTTAAAAAGACGCCAAAAGATGATTGTTGGCCCGTTGCACACCTGACAATAGGCTTTAAATATTATCAAGGACGACGGCTTTACTATTTATGCTGCCTTGAATTGATGTACAGGGCGGCGGTACAGCAATTACCTTCACAGAATTCTCCATAAAACCCATCCTTGCAACGGCAGTCAAACGTGTGATACTTGTAGTTCGTTACACAGGCGCCTCCGTTCTGGCACGGTGATGACATGCAAGGAGTCTGAAATAATAATAAAAAATTTTGATATCATATGATTTCTTTTCATTAAGGTAATTTTGTTCCTCGGTTAAGTGTTGAGACAAGAAAATAGGGAGAAAGTGACATTGGACTGAATAACTCCGACGTCTTATCGTCAGTCACTTTTACGCCAGTTCCTGTTCGATTTCTTAGCTGATATTCTATATAAAGAACCTTAATTTTATAAAGAATTACGGCGCCGAGTTTTACGTTTACACGAAAGTATCTTATATTTCAAGACACATTATTAAAATCGCGTAGACCTGATATATAAAAAATATCTTACTTTAAACTCTATACAAAAAGTGATGAAAACTCTCGTTCCTTTTATACTCCTCGGGATTGCTGTACTTTTCGGAGGATAACAACTCACACCGCAACTTTCCATCTGCTCCTTTGTAAGCTGCCAGGTTGAAGGACAAACAGGAAGGATTGCCGAGGCATTCAAAGGTGCAGTCAAGACTGTCATACACTGTGAATATTCCAACTTTAGGAACGTTTAAATAATGGTACTCGTCCTTTATGAAGACATCTTGACGAAGACTGTGATGATACATGGTGGTAAATTCTGAAGAATCATTAATCAAGAAAGAATGAAGGGTTTAATTTACCTCTTTATGATGCATGGGTCGTGCATATAAGAAACCTTTAGGGAGTCCCTGGCTTTATGAATGGTTTTTAAAAAGGAACTCGTTAAGTGAACTGGAACTAAAAAACTTTACCTGAAAGTAAAGCCTAGGGGTCAGGGGAAGAAAAATGTGGAATTATCCTCCTCATCGAATTAGGGATTTTTCTGGCAGTTCTGGAGGTATTTAACATTTATGACTTTTAAAGCCATGCAGTTCTTTAAATCATATACTTTTTGTGAGACTTATTACGTTTGAAGTAGCCACTCGACGACGGCGGCAACGATCGAAGGTCTGAAAACATCTTTTTTAATGAAAACATAACTTACAGCTCCGCACGTACATCACACTTTGGGGCACACTTTAATCTGAAGTCCAATGCACGGCTTCGACGCGAAGCCGTTCCTAATACAACATTTTGTGGAGGACGTGAATTCACACATGACTTCTAATTTTCCTTAATTAATAGTCTTTCCAAAAAAAACTCGGATACAGTCCTTAAGAATCCATCTCCAGGAAAATCAGATTCAAGCATATCGCGATAGAGTATAAAAGGACGCAAAACTAGTATAATTCGTAATATTCGCTTTTGTCCTAGTTGCTAAAGCTCGCTCTCCCGTAAAACAACAGGAACTGTTATACATTTTTCTAACATGCCGGCCGCAATTTCTCAGCGATTTTTTAAGTAGCCAAGCGAAACCGAAAAAGAGCCAAGTTAATTAGTGACAAAATACTATCCACAGGCGTTATTTTACATGCAAATCGTTATAATGAGAAAACTGGTTCGTCTCCATGTTTCCACTAAACTATACTAAGCAAAAAAGGTTATTCCCATGACCAATTTTACTCGACTATCAATAAAATAAAGCGAAGAAAAACCAACCTTCCAGTTGAGCAAAGACTGCATTGGGTATGAAAGAAAACAACGGAAGGAGGCAGAAGGATAAGGAGAACATCTCAGATTGGTGAAACTGTTCACGGTTGGCAAACTTCGTAAAATCAGTGGATAAACTTGACAAACACTGCCAAAAACAATGATTTGTAAAGTGATAGCCGTTCTAAAAAACCATCAGTTTATATGCAATATTAAGTGTTTTTTATTTATGACTCTCTTTGTCCGGTACGTCTGTTCAGTCAGGCTGGGCCAATTAATGACAAGTCTTGAAACCTCAACCAATGCACTGTTTACGCCAACGTCACGATTAACAATCTCTGGAAAAACACACATTCTTAGAAAAACAAGATAAAAAAAGAAAAGTCATCTGGATATTTCCCCCTTAAAAGAAACGTTACCAAAATTATAATCTCTTTTTTTAGTTCCAAGGCTCTCTGGCATTGAAAATATCTTAGTTTTCTGCACTGCAAATAAAATATGGCTTTATATCAAACTACGTCTTCGTTAATAAGGGAATATTAATTCAATTGTCTCGAGCGTCAACTTAGAAGTTTATTTTTCTTTAGTTAATTGTGAACATACAACATAAAAAGCATAAAACTAAGACGAGCTTACTAAATTATTTTTAGTGTGATTTGGGGTAGGAGGAAAATTACATTTTAGAAAAGACTTCATGTTAAGTCTTTTCATAAATGCCTTATTCTACCATCGATGACGACACCGGTCTGAATGAAAGCGGTACCCAATCAGTAGCCATCGCAAATTCGTTTTCTGTGTGTCCAAAAATCTTATTTCCAAGATTGCTTTTCTTTTGAAAAAGAATTAACATGGAATCCTCTCTATTCCTTTTGACAACCGAAAAAAATTATAGGTTCCCATTAACTTTAAAAAAGTTTTTGAAAATGTTGTTTCAGCGCTAGGGAGTGTTTAATGCAGTTTTTCGACCAATGTAGTTAAATTTTTAAATTATGCTTTTATTAGTCTTTATAAACAGTATCTTTTTGACGACTTGCCAAATAAGAAGAATATACTGTTCAATAAGGTTTTAGAGACTACGTGAGTTTTTTCGATCATTAGTGCTGTTAAGTTATGTTTAGTTTATAGTCTTAAATATTTAATTACGACTGTTGCATAAATTCATGCAACTTAGATAGCTTTCGTCAATTTGTTCAAGTTACTCCTTTGGGCCAACACTAAATTTTATTTCAAAGAAAGTGGATGGAATCATGCTATCAACAGAGAGGAGAAGTCGTTACGTCACGTTGCCATGGTAGCAAAATTTCTGGTTGACAACAAACCGAAAACTTTACTTAAAAAGTGAATTCGCACTGTTTCAAACTTCATCGATTTTATTCCATTTCATTTCATTTTTCAAATATTGGCGACATTATTTCAGGTGTTGAATCCGAAAGGACAGGATCTAAGTTTACAAAAAGGAAAAGAAAATTTCTATGTTGTGTTCACCTGCTCTATAACGTGGGCAGGTGAAATTAGGAAGTTTCATGTCGCAGTCGGGCGAGATAGGAGCATGGTTATAACGTTAAGATGAAAAAGGCCGGTCCAATTATCATCTAAAAACTGTAAGAGTAGAGAACATGTTTTCTACAAAAAAGGTATTTTTAAAACCCTCGAACGTACAAGGTGTGGATAAATATCACGATTTATTTTAAAAAGTCCTAAACTGCTGAGATCTTTCTGAGTTTTTTCCTAGACGATAAAACATCAGCACGCGACGTTTTCAGTAGCTGTTCGCTTATCCCTCGCGCGCATTTTGAGACAAGTTTTTAGTTAACAAAACAGAGCCAGTTATATCTCAGGTTAATCCACAGAAAGAAAAATTAGCTTCGATATCCCCTGGAGACCATTTTTCTCTTTTTTAATTCGTCTTTTGTTACATACAAAGCAACAGATGTCATGCCAGTCTATGTCCTTCTTCGGGGTAGATTAGCGGCATCATTTGAATCTTGATATTCATGTTTCCTGTGGTTTTAGCCTCAATGATTCATGATTCCTACAAGTCGAATTTTCCTCCAGATTCATGATTCACACAGACTTTTGGTCACCTAATGACTTAATTATTTTCTCAGTGGCAACTTAGTCTCGTTTTGTATAGCTTTTTTGGTGTTCGAACTTCTGCTTCATCCAGACTGACGGTATCATCATTCGTTTTGTCTAGGTATGGAGTTTATTTGTAAATTACTGAACATTAAGCACCATCACTTAAGAAACAAGGTGAGTGTTCAGGACCCAAATGTACGAATTATATAGGGGGGTCAGGGGGTATGCTCCCCAGAAAAAAAAAAATGAAAATTGGACTCTCAGAAACGCCATATCATACATTTCCTGGATCAAACGCAATTAATTCATACGTGTATTTTGTTGAGCTTTTCTCAGAGTATCGTTATTCATGGTTGCCTAGCCGAATTACCAACACCTTAAGATGCATGATTCCCAAGTTGTTAACATGATTCTGACATGTTTTGATTGATTCATGGTTCATGATTCCGCTCCCACCCTCGATCTTTCAATATCAATACATGTAAAAAAATATTAAAACTTACCTTCCATTTGAGCAAAAGTCGCATTAGGTATCACAGAAAACAATGGAATGAGAGGCAACGAGCAAAAGTAAAAAGAGAACATCCCTGATTAGTGAAGAGACTCTTGGAGAACTCCGTGAAATAGAGGAACTTGACAAACACTGTAAAACGCTGACTATTTGGTAAAGCGATTGGTGTTCTCAAAAACCATCAATTTATATGCAATATTAAATGTTCATTATTTATGAATTTCTTTTTAATCGTGTGTGTGTCGCTTCAGGCGGCCAGCCTAATGAAAGATCATCAATCGAACCTGAGTTGTTATTAGATACTTTAAGCCCGGGGGTACTCCCATACATTACCTATACAGGTATGTGCCGCCCAACGGGGTCGTGATTTTGAAGCTCCTGATTTAGAACGGGGTATCCATTTCAGAGGCGTTTTCTAGAACGGGGTATAAAAAATTGTGGATCACGGTTTTATCTTCTGCATAAAATTGTTGCTGATTATGAAGAAGCATTTCTTTGATGTATAAGTCGAACAAATAAAGAAATATCTTTTTAAAAAAACAGGGCTATTTCAATTTACAAACTTTCTAGAACGGAGTATAAAAAATTGGCCCATTTCTAGAACGGGGTATCAGTTTTAGGGCGAATTCTAGAACGGGGTATAAAAAATTAGCCCATTTCTAGAACGGGGTATCAATTTTAGGAGAATTTTTTTTTAGAACGGGGTACCAATTTAGCCTCCCCGCAGACGTCCTTTGGGGTTCGTTTGTCACGCATTCATTAATGAATGCCAATTTGCCAATTTGGTGCCAATTTGGATTCCCGGGCGGCACATACCCACCCAAAAAATACCCAAGTGCCCCCCCCCCCCTCCCCCCCCGGGACTTTAAGGTCCAACGACGCGACGGGAGCAATAGAACGTCACTTAAAAAGTCAATTTGCGTTCTTTCAGTCTTAATAGCGAATATTCCTACCCACCTACTTTGTCAATTGTAGGTGAACCCTCCTAAAGCGGAATTTCAAGGGACCATTATTTAAGCTCAGAAAGAGAAATAAAATTTCGTCGTTGCTTGTTTACGTTCTCCATTAAACGCGAAATTAGGCATTTTCACGTTGAAGTCGTGCAACAAAGGAAAAGAAATGTACAAAAAAGTGTGATGCATGTGCAAAGTTTTTGTTTTGCTCATTAAACCTACTGTTTTTTATGACATTCTCGCTGCCAACCGCGTCGTTGGATCTTCAAGTCCCTATTATGTCTGATCAAAGAGTCTGTTGTATTGCATACTTAGTAAACAATCTTTGGAAGCTGAGAGATGCTTACCATCCACACAAACCACCCGCCGCGGGGTGGAAAACTTCTGCATAGATATAAAACTATTGACAATTTTACCGAGAGCATAAAGTATCTTGTTTACACCCCAAAATGTGCCATAATCTTGTTTTCGATTTCCCTTGGGGCGAATGTATTAAAAGGAGAAAAAAACTGGAAACAATGGTAATGAAAAATTTGGTGGGAGGGGGAGGGGGAAGCCGTAAACAAGGGGCACAATTATGGTCTCGGCGAAAATGGTGAATAAAGTTTGAGAACGAGCCGCAACAAATTATATCCAAATCGGCTGAACAGACTAAAAAAACTACAAACATTGCTTCGTCTTAAATCTTCGCTGAACCTTCCTAAATGGAATGACACAAACCATTTGATTTTCAAACCGGAATGTCCAGTTTTCCCATATAAATGGTAAATTACACAGTCAGGTGTTCCACCCTGAGCTGTAAGCCTTTTTGACGCCTTAAACAGCAAGAAGAAATTAAAAGTAAAACATAAATGCTTCAGTCACGAAATGGATTAATATATTAGATTCCGAGAAATTCCACGTTACGTTTAAAATTTATTGTTGGAAAGATCAGATTCAGTGCTAACTAAATATTTCATTAACATATTCAAAACGGTTTTCCTACTATTTCACGATTTCTTTCTTTTTTTTGTAATTGTCAAATATGTTTAAGACCTTCTTGACATATTTAAATAGACAAAATGACAGTTGCAGTAAATTTGAATGCAACCTAAACCGCTCAAGAGAAATCTAGAACCGCAGATCTAAGTACGGCTTGACCATCTCTTGTGCAACTTAAATTTTGAATGTATGCCAGATATTTAGACTACCGAGCAAAGGCATTAAACATTTCTGTATTTAGGCTTATACTTCTTACAGTACATTCAAATTTTAATATCACATCTATTTTCTGAATAATAACTGATTCTGCGGTTGTTTGGCAATGTAAAAACCCTGGAACAATTTAATAAAACTTGTACACGTGTAGTTTGCAAGAGTAGCTATTGTTCTCAGACTCTAAAACAAATTGTTTTAGAGTCTGAGAACAATGGCAGCACTACACTTGTAAATTGCACGTATAAAGTTTTTAATTATTAAATTGACCCCTGGGCTTATTTGTAGCTTTGTTAATATATTCATTGACGTTAAAGGATAAGAGATAAAAGAAGACCACTATAAAGAAAGTTATATGCAGTAACTTATAAGCTCAGATGGTGTTGTTTTTCAGCTCTATTAATTCATTTCTGTCGTTAAGAAGGAAGAGTTAAAAGAGCTTTTAATTTAAGCTCAGTGTTATGACAATACCCAGCTGAATTTTAGCTCTTGACTATTTATTTGTTTATTGCTCGGCGTTAAAAGGAAAGACTTAATAGAGAAACTCTTAATCAATCAGTCAATCAACTTTATTTAAACACAGTAAATTGGCTCAGCAAGCTGGTTTTTAGACATGCCGTGTGACGATTACAACCTATAGATATTAAAACTGGTGATTAACTAACAATAATTTAGCACTATGATTTACAATTTTATATATGTTCCTATCGACTCTTATAAACGTAACTATGTAGTTTTGTGTAAGCAAGATTTATTTGGATACAATATAATAAGAAGAAATAGGTCAAAAAATAAAAATAAAATAAAAAGTTATATCTTAGGATGTCGCAAGTTTAAAGCTAATAAGATCATCTGTCCCACGTGTTTGGTTTGGTTCCAAGCCATGGCACCCCGATAAGAGATTATGACCGCTTAAGAAAATTCTAATTAACGAAGTTGTATGAAATAATTTATAAGCTCGAGTTTTCGCTATAAATAAACCTGCTTAGAAATATAACCAGCTTGTTGAGACAAAATGTTTATTTAAAACGTCAGTTGAAGTGAGTATAGTGCAGTTAAAGCCCTGCCTCGAGACAAAATAGTTCTCTGGTAAATTTGCTAGGAAAGGTGATTAGCCTGGGTATGGGAGCTTCCTTTGGGCTTCTCTTGTCTTCATAAATAATGCGTGGGTGATGAGTAAACGTCTTTAGCAGTCATGCAGAATAACTAAGCAATGAGAAGATGATAGAGACTAGGCCTTGGCGGATTGTGCTCCTAAAAGGGGCATATTATCCTACTAGAGGTGCTCGAAATTTTGCCAAATTATGCCAAAATTTTGCCAGAATTCCCAAATTATGCTCCTGATTTCCGAAATTATGCTCACAAATGACGTAGATTCTCTAAATATAGGCGCGCAATAACGACAACAAATTATGATGTTTTTCAAATAAACTGTTGTTGTAAATTTAGAATATAGTACTATCTTGATTTAAACTAACTCAAACTATAGCGAACTACAACGTTCAAAGTGTCAAGCCACGAAGTAAATCAACTTGTCTTGACAGTTCTGAGTTCTTTCAGCACCAATAAACATGGATAAGAATAGTACACACAAGTCAACATCAGCACTTATATTATTGTCAGTACTGCAACATTACGCTGGCCTGGAGATAGTCTGCCAGAACGCTGTCCTGCTGATCGCTAAATGCCGCCGAGAGTAGGGAAAAGGCTCACTCAGCTGCAGCAGAGAAAGGCTGTACCAATAGAACCTGCTTCCCTGCGGCTGATTTAATTTTTTATTTCTGTTGGTAAATGCACCATATGTACTAAATTTTATGAATTTATGCTCCAAAAAGTGCTAAAATTTGCTTATTATGCCGTGGCAGTGGTCGTTTAAAAAAATGGTGCTTTTTTGCTCCAATTATGCCAAAAATTTTGCTAGCACAATCCGCCAAGGCCTAGTCTATGGACCGGGGGTCAGTGGTTTTGGGTTCCTCGTCTGAATGAAGCGTGAATGAAATGTCTGAAAATGGTTTAAGCATGGCGTGTGATTTACGCCTGTGTTCATTGTTTCTTCTCGCCGAAAAGAAAGAACGTAATTATAAGATTTGTCTAGTATTCTTATGACAGACTCGTGTCTTTGCTGTAGTTTACGTCTAGCGCACATTTAGGCGCGTTATTAAAAACACACAACGCGCAACGGGCAGTTTGTGTAGACTACGAAATTATGGTTGTTCGTAGGGGGAAATGTTAAAAAAGTTCATCAACCTTCTTGGGTCTTTTCGGAAACAAAAAGTCTAACTTATAGTAAAGGTTACTGCGTATCAGATATAATCTACCGGGTACATGTAGGTACAATAACGATTTGTCGGTCCGATTTTGCAAAGAAAACGTATTCTAACATAAAAATCGGCCTTCTTTAACATTTGGGTAGAATCTCCTTGAGACGGAAAGATTGACCTATAAACATAAACCGTGAACTTGACGCAGCCAAAGAGTTTCGTGAATGACAACCAGAAAACAATAAATTTCATGAGTAATAAACTTTTGAAAGGGGTGTGGTGAAGGGAGAGGGGGACAATGATGCACACGTATGGGTAAGAATTCTTTTCCCTGTTACTGTGATCGAATTTGATTTTAATTTTTGTTTTAAAAACAGCATTAATTTCTGGATTGGAATAGGGTGAACCTTGTTCGTTTTAAGTAATGAAAAGTCTAAAAATGGGCGCTTCGCTTTTAGCCTTGGCTAAATCTATATATTATTTGTTGTAATACAGTTAGAATGAGAAATCAGCTTAAATCTTAAGCAATACCAGACGAGTATAATTAACTGCACCAAGAGCCATTATGGCTCTTGACTGCACTTTGTACAGTAACAACAACCCTTACTAGTTTTGCCTCTTACGGTTTTAAATCGTGAGCGGCCTGCTATCCCAGCCAAGTGAGCTACAACCCTGGTCAAAACTCTTGGGACACTAACGCAATAGCTCGTCAAATTGAGGCATCTTCCCTGCCCCCTTCCCCCTCGGTGCAGTGTTGACGTTATGTATTCAAATTTTAATTCAACACAATCAACACTGCTTGGGGGAGAGGGGGGCAGCAGAAATAGCCCTTCATAACAACACCCCTAAGCTTTTTTAAGAGGAAGAAGATGAGTTAATTTAGCAAAGTGCGTATTATATTTGTGCCTAATTTCCGCAAGTGTCCCAATACGTTTTGACCAGGGTTGTAGTACAGAAAATCAATACAAATATGTATCAAATTTGAATCTGCGTTCCTGCATGCGTGGTGAGCAGTGTGAATTTTTTTTTACAATAACCTCTTTGTATTCGGTGAGAATGAAAAATCTTTGAATGGACAAAATTGCTTTGAAGCCGACACACATCAATTGTAAGAAGACTGAGCAGGCAAAAGTTTCATAACTGCCTTGTATATAAATTCACTGGTCATTAAGCATGAATGCAGAGATGAATCTGAAATCTACAACTACCAACGGATTCAACTTTCAAATAATGGAATCTTAGTGGGGGGTTACGCTGGACCTGGCTTGACTGTAATGAGATAAGTATTAAAAGCATGGTTATTTTATAACACGCAAATTCTCATATACCCCCACCGTGGCAGAAAGGGGGGGTTGACGGAACCCCTCCCTGGAGTTTTTGGTATGTTGCGGTATTTCGAAGCGATTTTGCCTTCAGTGAAAAGCCTTTGATCTTCTCATCGGTGGTGGTGCTACTGGAGGCTCCAAACATGGTCGCCATCTTGGCCGTCTTCTTGGATATAACCAAGAATTAGAAATCAGGTAAAAACCACGAAATAATTTTTTGGGCTTGACATTTAAAATAATACATAATTAATTTCTAATCATTACTTATTCATTCATTCATTCATTCATTCATTTTTGCCATTATCCACATACTTTGAATCTAGAAAAATTCATTTAAGTTTGGCGAAACCTTTATTTTAACTATCTTTTGGTCATCTTTTTTCCAAGTGGCGGATTTTTATCCTTATGTTGAAGCTTATGTTGAGTGGCATTACCACTCGAACACGTTGTTGTATAGTTCAGTCAAAAAGCTACTAGATGTAATTCCTTTCGCCTTGTAAGTTTACGAAATTAGTTACTGGTGCCCGTGTAATAACGAAATATAACGGCAGGGAATAATTATAAACTGAATCCAAATCCAAAAGGATAGACTGCTAACTGAGGATACAAAAAAGACTTGACTGATCTTGACTGCTTCCTAGTTTTGGTGCTATCGTTTTACTGTACCAAGATATAACCTATTCCCTTTATATGCTTGTTGCCGTTGTCTGGATAATACGTAGCCTCGTTGCCACATGTATTGTTGTTATCATGCAATCCACCAGTACCAAACCCGATTCTAGAGTCACACATATCGCAATCGTTTTCATTGTTGCCGAGGAAACCGATTCTTGCTTTTGACTGATCTTTACCCGAATGACTCTGCTTGTTACTCTTGGCATTAAATCCTTCCCTGTTACAGTTGAACTGTAAAGAGGCCTCAGAACCAATCAGCGACTTCCACGTGTCACGACGCAGTGAGGTCTTACGGTATTGGCCATCAGCGATCAGAGACTACAAGGAGTTTGCCTCCTTGTTGATGACAATAAACCTGATCTGCTGGCCGATCTTCATACCGAGGCAAATCTTGGAGAAAGATGTGTTCCAGTAGGAAGGTAGTTTAGTCTCCTGTGAGTCAAACCCAGTCTTCCCTCCGTCAAGGTTAAAGGTTTCTTTGTTGCTCCAGAGACTGGCGTGGAAGTGAAAAGTTTGCTGTGATAAAATTGTTAAGAACAACAGTCTCCATGATAGGTAAAGAATGATTTGATTCAAGTATGGTCGGAAGGTTATTTCGCCTGTACATCTAGTAAGGCTCCGTTACTTTGGGGTTGCAGAAATATTGCGAAACTCTTAATTTTATCAACAAACGTTGGATCCCGCTACAGTCCTGCTGTGGTTTGTCTCATTGTCTCATGATCAGATTACTTCGGATCATCGTTTGAGGCTCTTGCTGTGTAAATGAACTTCGTGTACTTTTACTAGTAATAATAGGGCATATAATTTTTGATAGTATAAACGCGTGGAACAGTTATCCAGAAATTTTAAGCCTTTCTCAAGCTTTAGAAATTTCTAGGCAACAGATGATCCTTCGAACAGTTTAATTTTGGCACGGTTTAAAACCTCATGCAAAGAAATATAATTCACCGCTTTCAAATGGGAGATTTGTCAAAGCTAAGCAATTTAAGTACTCTTTATGCCGACCCCCGGATACTAACTGTAAATTAAGGTTGTTATTTGCACTGTTTGAGGTTTAATACGCTGTTAATTCGCTGAACTTCGCTGAGAGCAGGGCCCTATAAGCTCTCGTTACTAATACGATTTAAAAAGTTCTTGTCACTGTCCACCTCAGTTCTTTATAGCGTCTAAAAACTGCAGGAGACTGGCGTTTATCGTGGACGCCATTTTCCAAAAAGTTTTCCTCCCGTGCAAAGCGTTCTAAAGGGAAATAAGCCCCTCGGACATTTTTAGAAAAATCATTTAAATAGCACTCCTGACTCCTATTGAGAATTACCGCTTAAAGAATCAAGTCCGCGGTATTTAATAACCATTTTTTTTCACTTTTGTTCCCGGACTTTTAATCAAACTACTGAAAAGTCTACCTTGTTGCCATCCATCTTCATGACCGGTGTCCATCCTCCATCTCCACATCCAAAATCTCCCATGTGACAGAGAACGGGAATTTTTTTGGAATCAAGGAGAAGAGTGATCAACTGAGTCACGTTTAACCTGTACAAAATGAAATCTCATTTAATTTATTTTTTCCATATCTTGACTATCGAATAAACAAAGGGAATGTTACTTAAAGAGCTCTGTCACGATTGCCTAGTTTATTTTGTTATAAAATATTGCCAATTACTCTTTCAAAGTAATTTTTTATTGGCTTATTGACTTCCATAGCGCAAAAGAGTCTTTTGCACTATGGAACTCAATAAGTCAAGAAGAAATTACTTGTGAATGACAAACTATTCTGTTGTCCAATAAATATGCCTCCAGGTCATAAACATTACAGACTTCAAAAATGAATTTTGAATAACTGCACTATGCCAACAAGTTTTCAAAAACCCACAATTGCAATCGATTTTAAACCTTTTTAAAGTGTTTTTTATCCGTGCCTTTATTTTGCATTTGTGGCTGTTTTAATGGTGTAGGAACAGCCCCATCGAGAATCAATATTTTATTGTTTCTATTTAATTTTATTATAATTTAAATCAGTAGTGATACTCACTTTTCCTTGAGCTGATCATAAAGGACTTGACATGACTTTGCAACTGAAAAAAAATTTGAAACATAAACTCAACTTAGATTTTCTCTCACTTTACCAAGAACCGATTAAGGGAGGAGGGGGAATAAAGGACAAGAAGAAATTCAAACCACAGGTTGCTGCACTTTTTCTTTTACGGGTCTTTGCCTTTTTATGTGAGACAGATAGCCTGTGTGGCAGGCGTTCGAAAGGGAAAGGGAAGGGAGGAGGGGAACGTCTGCAAGGAAGCCATTAAACCACAGGTTACCCACTTTCCCTTTACGGGTCTTTGCCTTTTTATGTGAGACAGACTGCTGGTCACGTCTTAAGTAATAACCTGTAATCTTTGAGGTGTAACCTACGTTTGGGTTAACAAATTCACACCACATCCAGTCACTTTAACTGCCCGTTCGTTTCTTTAGCTACGTTTCTTGTACCACTTGTGACGTCATCAGTTTTTTTAAAAATTTTTTTCCCCAAAATGAAGCCAGTAGAAAAGTACGGAAGAAGAAAAGCAAAAGAGGCGGAGAGGAGAGAAGGTGACAGGTAAACTTGGGGGGAGTCAACAGTTTTTATTGAAAAGAAAACGATTCAAACTTTGACGGTCATGTCAAATTAGTAATTTGACAGCAGCCAGCGGCGGTTTTGTTCAACTTGATCGGTTTTGACCAGATGGTGACAAGAGAGGAATCTACTTTTGAGAGTACTGACAAATTTATCTGCCGATGCTTCAAAGCAGGTTAAAAAGACGCCAAAAGATGATTGTTGGCCCGTTGCACACCTGACAATAGGGAACTTAAGATGGAGACGTTTTCGGGGCGACGGCGACCGGACTGGCAGAGAAAGCCTGGAACTAAGGCATCCGTCGCTCCCTGTCAAAAATAGAACATTAAGATCGCAGTGAACTCAGAAGGACGGCGCGCCTTTAATTAGAAGAATACCAAAGAGGAAAATATGGCTTCACATAAAGAATTAAGAGAATAAATATTTGCTATGCAGACAACATGTATCGGATGAAGAGTTTCTCGTTTTGTGGAAAAATTATGAGTCCAAAAATCCCGATTTTCCTCGGGACAGTTACGATCCGTTCACGCTAAAAAACATGCGGGATGCAGCTGAGTTCAAGGCAGAATTTCGTGTTGAAAAAAAAGGATCTCCACAGGCTTGCCGAAGCCTTGCAAATGACAGGAACATTAAAATGCTACCAAGGAACCGTATTCTTAGTTTGGCATTGAAATAATTCCCGGGAAATACTTGCATACAACAACAACAACAACGGCGACAACTTTATTTCAGTATTCCCACGCCGAGTTAGTACATGGTATTACCTACTACTCTATATAATTTTCAATGCGTTTCATTTATACGATGTTCTAACGAAAAGAGCGAACTAAAAACACACAATTGAAATATCGGAGTTCATATTTTTTGTCTGGATACTTTTATTTGGCTCGTGGGAAAATTTTGTCCCATGTCAAGCTCACTTACGGTTGGCAGTTTGCCAAGTTGGATCTTGACCCTGTGAAATGAAAACATAGAAACATTCAAAGATGTAAGTTTAGCGAACATAGCTTGGAAATCGAGCTTGAAATGTGCCTCAAAGAAAACAAGGACAATTTACGAACGATACTCTGCAAAATGTTGGTTGCTAAACGCAACAAACCTGATTGAAATGACAGTTAAATACTCACGTTTTCGCCACAACGCCAAACAGACCAGTTTCACGTCGCCGACGGGACCACGACGGCAAGGTGGTGAGCACGAGCATGCGCAATATCCAACAAATGATGATGTCACGTCCGGTTGAAGTTGCCGTCGCCCCGAAAACGTCTCTATCTTAAGTTCCCTAGTAGTAAATATTATCAAGGACGACGGCTTTACTATTTATGCTGCCTTGAATTGATGTACAGGGCGGCGGTACAGCAATTACCTTCACAGAATTCTCCATAAAACCCTTCCTTGCAACGGCAGTCAAACGTGTGATACTTGTAGTTCGCTACACAGGTGCCTCCGTTCTGGCACGGTGATGACATGCAAGGAGTCTGAAATAATAATAAAAAATTTTGATGTCATATGATTTCTTTTCATTAAGGTAATTTTGTTCCTAGGTTAAGTGTTGAGGCAAGAAAATAGGGAGAAAGTGACATTGGACTGAATAACTCCGACGTCTTATCGTCTGTCACTTTTACGCCAGTTCCTGTTCGATTTCTTAGCTGATATTCCATATAAAGAACCTTAATTTTACAAAGAATTACGGCGCCGAGTTTTACGTTTACACGAAAGTATTTTATATTTCAAGACACATTATTAAAATCGCGTAGACCTGATATATAAAAAATATCTTACTTTAAACTCTATACAAAGAATTTACCACACCTTGATAGAAAAGTGATGAAAACTCTCGTTCCTTTTATACTCCTCGGGATTGCTGTACTTTTCGGAGGATAACAACTCACACCGCAACCTTCCATCTGCTCCTTTGTAAGCTGCCAGGTTGAAGGACAAACAGGAAGGATTGCCGAGGCATTCAAAGGTGCAGTCAAGGCTGTCATACACTGTGAATGTTCCAACTTTAGGAACGTTTAAATAATGGTACTCGTCCTTTATGAAAACATCTTGACGAAGACTGTGATGATACATGGTGGTAAATTCTGAAGAATCATTAATCAAGAAAGAATGAAGGGTTTAATTTACCTCTTTATGATGCATGGGTCGTGCATATAAGAAACCTTTAGGGAGTCCCTGGTTTTATGAATGGTTTTTAAAAAGGAACTCGTTAAGTGAACTGGAACTCAAAAACGTAAGCTAAAAGTAAAGCCCAGAGGCCAGGGGAAGAAAAATGGGAATTAATTATCATTTTCATGGAATTAGGGATTTTTCTGGCAGTTCTACAGGTATTTAATATTTATGACTTTTAAAGTCATGCACTTCTTATACTTTTTGGGATTACTTTAAAACTGAATTCATCTTACTAAGTTTGAAGCAGTCACTCGACGACGGCGGCAACGATCGAACCTCACATCTGAAAACAATTTGTTTACGAAAAAATAACAGCTCCGCACGTGCATCACATCGTTCTTAATCTGAAGTCCAATGCGCGGCTTCGACGTGAAGCCGTTCCTAACACGACATTTTGTGGAGGACGTGAGTTCACACATGACGACGAATTTTCCTTAACTCCGGGAAAAGTCACATGCATTTAACACATTTATCGAAACTAAATAAAACATAATCGCGATAGAGTTTAAAAGAACGCAAAACTATGATAATTCGTAATATTCGCTTTTGTCCTAGTTGCTAAAGCTCCCTCCCCCGTAAAACAATAGGAACTGTTATACATTTTTCTAACATGCCGGCCGCAATTTTTCAGCGATTTTTAAAGCAACTAAGCGAAACCGAAAAAGAGCCAAGTTAGTTAGTGACAAAATACTATCCGCAGGCGTTGTTTTACATGCATATCGTTATAATGACAAAAATTCGTCTCCATCTTCCGACTGATTTATACTAAACAAAAAAGGTTATTCCCACGACCAATTTTACTCGACTATCCATAAAATAAAGCGAAGAAAAACCAACCTTCCAGTTGAGCGAAGACTGCATTGGGTATGACAGAAAACAACGGAAGGAGGCAGAAGGATAAGGAGAACATCTGCGATTGGTGAAACGGTTGGCAAACTTCGTAAAATCAGTGGATGAACTTGACAAACACTGCCAAAAACAGTGTTTTGTAAAGTGATAGCCGTTCTAAAAAACCATCAGTTTATATGCAATATTAAGTGTTTTTTATGTATGACTTTCTTTGTCTGGTACGTCTGTTCAGTTAGGCTGGGCCAATTAATGACAAGTCTTGAAACCTCAACCAATGCACTGTTTACGCCAACGTAAACGATTAACAATCTCTGGAAAAACACAGATTCTTAGAAAAACAAGATAAAAAAGAAAAGTCATCTGGATATTTCCCCCTTAAAAGAAACGTTACCAAAATTAATAACCTCTTTTTTTTAGCTCCAAGGCTCTCTGGCTTTGAAAATATCTTAGTTTTCTGCACTGCAAATAAAATATGGCTTTATATCAAACTACGTCTCTGTTAATAAGGGAATATTAATTCAATTGTCTCGAGCGTCAACTTATAAGTTTATTTTTCTTTAGTTAATTGTGAACATACAACATAAAAAGCATAAAACTAAGACGAGCTTACTAAATTATTTTTAGTGTAATTTGGGGAGGAAGGAAGGTTACATTTTAGAAAAGACTTCATGTTTAGTCTTTTCATAAATGCCTTATTCTACCATCGATGACGACACCGGTCTGAATAAAAGCGGTAGCCAATCAGTAGCCATCGCAAATTCGTTTTCTGTGTGTCCAAAAATCTTATTTCCATGATTGCTTTTCTTTTCAAAAAGAATTAACATGGAATCCTCTATATTCCTCTTGACAAGCAAAAAGATGATAGGTTCCCTAAGGCTTAAAAAAGGTCTTGAAAATGTTATTTCAACGCGAGGGGGGGCTTAATGGGTTTTTCGACTAATATAGTTAAAATTTAATTTATGCTTTATTAGTCTCTAAAAACTGGAATCTTTTTGACGACTTGCCAACGTCGCTTCAGTCAGGCTGGGCCAATTAATGACAAGTCTTGAAACCTCAACCAATGCACTGTATACACCAACGTACTGGTTACTACGATTAACAATCTCTGGAAAAACAAACATTCTTAGAAAAACAAGATAAAAAAAGAAAAGTCATCTGGATATTTCCCCCATAAAGGAAACGTTACCAAGATTAATAATCTCTCTTTTTTTAGCTCCAAGGCTCTCTGGCTTTGAAAATATCTTAGTTTTCTGCACTGCAAATAAAATATGGCTTTATATCAAACTAGGTCTTTGTTAATAAGGGAATATTAATTCAATTGTCTCGAGCGTCAACTTAAAAGTTTATTTTTCTTTTCTGAACATACTAAATTATTTTTAGTGTGATTTGGGGTAAAAGGAAGGTCAATTATTTTAGAAAAGACTTCACGTTTAGTTTCTTCTTAAATGCCTTATTCTACTATCGATGACGACACCGGTCTGAATGAAAGCGGTAGCCAATCAGTAGCCATCGCAAATTCGTTTTCTGTGTGTCCAAAAAGAATAAAATTTGAATTATACTTTTATTAGTCTTTAAATACAATATCTTTTTGACGACTTGCCAAATAAGAAGAATATACTGTTCAATAAGGTTTTAGAGACTACGTGGGTTTTTTTTATCATAATTGGTGCTGTTAAGTTATGTTTAGTTTATAGTCTTAAATATTTAAGTACGTCTGTTGCATCAATAAAAAGGGAGCCTTTTTATGACAACTTTCGGAATATGGGGAATCAGCTGTTTAAACTAAATTTTTGGGACTTCGATGCAGTCGAAACCCTTCAGAATGGAATGAAACGCAAGACCAAATTCTAATCCGGATTTGCGTATACATGGTAATTATGTAGTTATGTCCACCTAACTGTTAACAAACTCAATATTAACGTGCTATTAAAAGGAATCACCTGCTGTGGAATTTATGTTTTAAATGCATGTCCGTAGTTTAATTGCCTCAGCAGCTAAAAGGGCGGGATACGTGGTTTGGGTAGTTCAAATTTCAAACTTAAGTTTGTTCACAAACGTTCCAAAAATGATTCAAAGAAATTTTAACAATGTTGGTGAGCTTTTTGATACCTCAAAGCAGCTATTCTATTTAATTGATTGGAAATTCCAAAATTCATGCAACTTAGATAGCTTTCGTCAATTTGTTCAAGTTACTCCTTTTGGCCAAAACTAAATTTTATTACAAAGAAAGTGGATGGAATCATGCTATCAACAGAGAGGAGAAGTCGTTACGTCACGTTGCCATGGTAGCAAAATTTCTGGATGACAACAAACCGAAAACTTCGCTTAAAAAGTGAATTCGCCCTGTTTCAAACTTCGTAGATTTTATTCCATTTCAGTTAATTTGTCAAATATTGGCGACATTATTTCAGGTGTTGAATCCGAAAGGACAGGATCTAAGTTTACAAAAAGGAAAAGAAAATTTCTATGTTGTGTTCACCTGCTCTATAAAGTGGGCGCGTGAAATTAGGAAGTTTCATGTCGCAGTCGGGCAACAACGGCTAGAAAATGTACAAAAAAGCTTGAAGCACGAGCAAAGTTGTTGTTTTGCTAATTTAAACCTATTGCTTTTTGCCGTTCTCGTTGCTGTCGCCATCGTCGATGCTTAAGCTCCCTATTGTCCAAACATTTTGCCACCATGGTAACGTGACGTGACACTTCTCCTCTCTTATCGAGCTCAATATGGGTGCTAATTGAAGTTCTGGAACTTAACTTCTATGTATACCGATTTCTGTAATCACCAAATACAAAATTCTGGGCAAAAGAAGGAGAAACACCATATAACAATGTAATGGCAGAACTAAATAGTGTCGTTTTGTACAAGAAAAAGAACAGAATAGTCTGCCAAAATGGCGGCAAAGTTAAACGTTTCAAACAAATTCAAAATTGAAATTGTGCTGTGTTCAAATCGAACTTTTTTTTTCCAGTGAGAAATTCTCGTAGTAATGTGTACTTCCAGTTAAAAATGTGTTTTTGTTTTCAGGTCTTAAGCACTTTATTTCAAGTAGGCTGGATTAAGAAATGTCCTTTTTTGCAACCACAATTTATCCATCATGGTTTAAGGAATCAGCCGGCAAGTTGCTTGTTTTAGGCACCAGCTGGCGTAACAAGCTTGCCTAGTAAGCGAGGGTTAGGGTGGCTTTGGTAAGGAATGGAAAACCTTGCAGCCTGGCCCTTGACACTCAAGTAAAATGTCTTTACTTGATGTTTCAGTACCTAAGCTGTTAAATAAAGAAGTAGCTATCGAAAGACAATCTTCTCGCGACGACCATAACACTTTGTTTGCACAGTTTACTTTTCTCGAGTCACTACTCTTTTTTAATTCCGTGGCTGTAGTACTACTCGGCATCAAAAAACAATGATACAATTGTATATCGAAGACCCTAGTACAAAACGACGATGCCGAGTAGTACTACAGCCACGGAATTAAAATAGTCTGAGTCGCGACTGGAGAGACAATTTTTCACGATGACCAAACCTACTTGACTTGTTTGCGGAATTACTTTCCCGAGTGACTAGCACTATTTTCATTTCCAAGGATAGCAGCGTCTTTAAGTTTCAGTTCTGTGCTAATTGATAAAATATACTGAGTAGCGAGAGACAATCCTCCCACAATGACCATATCAATTTGTTTGCAAGGTTAACTTCCCTCAAACGAGTTGCAATTGACTACTCTTTTAGTTTGTGAGGATAGTAGCGTACGGATGGCTCACATGTTTTGTATAAAACGCTGTTCTAAAAATATTCCAATCCGTCTCAGAAGCTTCGGAAAGTGACGTAGAATGGACAATCTCACCCCTGGCGCATGCGCGAGCCGATGAAAACAAACTTGAAAACGTTGGCCCAAATAGCGACCGACAAGTCTAATTCTTAAAGATCGGAAACAATCTTGGTCTTTATCTTTGGTCTAGAGTCTGTTTATAAAATAAAACTTTGATTTATTATTTTGACTACAACAATATGTTGTTGTTGAATTTTTTGTCATGCGTATATAATTCAAAGCTACAAGTAAAATTATCTTAACAATTTTATTCTTGACGACAAAATAGAGGGAACTCGATCTAGCATAACCAGAGAAGAAGTTCCTTAACCAAATTCTATCAAAATATCTTTATCCAAACCCTCTGCTCTTGTAACCGTCGTTCTAAATTTCGGCGCTCTGTACGTGACAGAGAATTTCACGCGCTTAAAACAATAGAATTTGGACAGATGAAAGTAATTTGCATAACCTCAGTGCACATGCTCTCCAGCTGACATAGCCCCTTTAAACCCTCTAACTTCCACTGTTAGGGTCGGAGAATTGGAAACAAAAGAATATATTAGAAATCTCATATTTCCAAGTTTGTTTTAATTAACAGCGCAACCGAAACAAGCAACGTTTAATGACAACAGATTAAGACTAACGTTTAGATTCTTATGTGAAGTTAATGTCAAATAGACTCACTGTAGACTAAAGCTACACTAGAAAAATTAGTAGCTCTTTCATTTTATTTGTATCTAGTATGTGAAAGGTACGGCCAGCGGTCTTCCTGTGAATTATCGTGCTCGGGTGGCCGCCAATCCCATGAGATACTTGTGGTTTTTACTTCCGTTCGACCTAGCTCCTTTGTAACAGGTGTCGACTAACGTTGAATCGAACCAGATGGGACCAACCTCAGTCTGTAACCGCATTAAATGACAGAAGATTTAATAGGGATAGAATGGATTGATCAGGTCCGACTCCATTCCGCGGTTTGTCAACCGCCCCTCGTAATGATGTTCAGTTTAAACTGAAGATTTATTTAGTTCTCTCGTCAATACGGTATCATGAAACAGACTTGTCCGTATTTTATGCTTCAAGTAATTATATATTAACTACACAAATTATTTTGAATACAGCGACTGGAAATTGATTTTAACCTTTGAATTCCTAGTCGTTGCATGATTATTTCTAATCAGTCTTACCCTAATATCAGATTCAAAGATTTAAAAATTTTTTTGCAATCCAGCTACAAAGTCGCGAAAACAAAAACTCCTTTCGCACCCAGAAAGAGTGGATCGCTTGAGAAATTAACTGTTTTTAATATATAGATTTAGTTAATAAATTCATAATATACTTCAAACAAAAAGCGCGAAATCATTGTACGGAAATCCACCTGGAGTTGAGCCTGCGATCAGTTGAAAACCAGTAACATGTCAGCGGAGAACTTAAAAATATTTAACCTCGATGGGTCGACACCTGAGCCCGCGCACACGGTGTCAGTTGTAAACTGAGCACAGCATGGATGTGCAATATCAGGTTTCACAGTAGTGCGGACGGACAGGCTCCTATGGGGCTCCGATTAGGCGCGCTTCGTGCGCGCTTGGAGCTCCACTAATAAGACAGACGTCGAAGGTCCGTCGTGCGAACGTCCACGATAAGTATTTAGAATTTTAACTTCCTGAAAGTGTTTTCTATCGTATTGACAAAAGCATGCATAGCAGGCGCCGGTTAGTTTTTCCTAGGTAAATTTTATAGAGTGAAAGAGGAGAACAAAAACCAACCAGCAACGAGCCAGAGAGGTGTTACGGTATTGCCCATCAGCGAACCGAGTACAAGAAGTTTAATACCTTCGCCCCCTCTTTCCCAGACTTCGCGCGGACAACGGGGCAAGAGAGATTGCCTAGGGACTAGGCTGAAAATTTGCCATTCCGATAATTTTTTCTTGTATCCAAGAATTCAGCGCAGAAACAGAAATTCACGAACTGACTCTGTAGAGGGGGAGCCTTGGTTCTTGACAGTTGACTGCTCTTAGACTAATTATTGATTGCAACAAAATTTTGTGCGAAAACAAGAGAACAACGCCATTTTTTCCCCTTAAAGGATGATAGATTCAAGAAAACGTTTTTTTCTACATAAATGTTAAGGTTAGAGAGTTGGAAAGAAAAGAAAATATTTTAGAAACATCACATTTCGAATTTTGCTTTTATTACAGCGCAACGATGTAAGCCAAGTTCAGTATAACCCACCCGAGTGGTGTAGCAACTGCTCGGAAGGTCTCTCCTAATTGGTCGCAGGAAAAAATGACATGTCATTCTTCCAATTGTTTTAGTATTGACTGGGGTCAGGGAAACGCGCCATTTCAATTAATTGGTGACCTCTTCCCAGCAGCTGCTACATGACCCTCAGTATAAGACGTATAAAAATTCCATGAGGCGCAAAACTTATTGTCGATTTCAAATTGTGCATTTTGCAATACTAAAATCATCGTCTAGTTTTTTACCATGATTTTTCGTTTTAGCAATCATTTTTGCGGTGCTAGTTGTTGTGACATAAAAGGCCATTTGCATTAGTTGGTCTCGTTATCAAAGGGTGATTTAGTAATAACTCTGGCTGCGAGAAATGGCGAAAAACCTCAGTCTTAAGGTCTCTAATTACAAAAGGTCACCCTGCCTTCTGTATTGTGATGTACGGTTTCTTATGACCACTGATGCTCGTGGTAAAAAAATCTGCATTTTACTCTTAAACGAGTCATTGATGGCCAATTTAATATCGTAGAGACAAAAGACTAACAAAATTTGCCGCCACTGGAATAAGTTGTACCTTCAATACAGACAAAGCTTGCTAAAATGATTTAAGCTTCTTAGTTTTTTTTGGTACTACTGTCTCACTGTACCAAGATGTAACCTAGTCCTTTTGTACGTGTTCCCCCAGGATTCTCATTCCCACATGCATTGCTGTCATCATGCTCCCCTCCAGTACCAAACCCAATTCTGGAGTCGCAATTACCACAGTGGTCTATTTCGTTTCCAATGATACCGATTCTTGCTTTAGCCAGGTCTTTACCGTAAAACTTCTTGTAGCTCTTGGCATTAAATCCTTCCTTGTTACAGCCAATCTGTAAGGAGCCCTGGGGACCAATTAGTGACTTCCACGTGTTACGACCCAGTGAGGTGCTGCGATATTGCCCATCAGCGATCAGAGAGTACAAGGAGTTCGCCTGCTTGTTGATGACAATAAACCTGATCTGTTGACCGATCTTCATACCAAGGCAGATCTTGGAGAAGGATGTGTTCCAGTAGGAGGGAAGTTTGGTCTCCCGTGAGTCGAATCCAGTCTTTCCTCCGTTAAGGTTAAAGGTTTCTTTGTTGCTCCAGCGAATTGAGTCGTAGTGAAACGTTCGCTGTGATACAATTGATAATTATAGAAAAAACAGTTTCTTGTATAGATAAATAATGATTTCATTTAAGCAAAGAAAACAGAAACAACACTTCTTCGAGTTTGTTTTGATTTCATCGCAACCTGACACAAGCTAATACAGTAACAGTTTCAATCTTTAGAACCTTTAGACTCCTATATATGTGAATTAAAGGTTAAAATGGCGTAAAACTCGTCAAATGTCGAATTGTCCATTTTGCAAAGATATTATAAATCGTCGTCTCGTTTTAGACCGCGTTTACTCGTATTGGCACAATATATCACAACTCACGAATGATGTAAAACAAAGAAAACAAAGAAGTCAACACAATAGAAGCAAAGAAAACAACAGGCGCAAAACAAAGGAATAGCTCACAGGTTCTTACACCGAGGAAATCCCATCACTTATTAGCCCCCTGAAATGCCACCTGACATTGCTTTTATCCCATCATTCAGTTGAGTGTAAAGCGGCAGAAATTCCAAACTGATGACGTAAATCATTGTTTACATAATAAATCCCGTAGCCATGGGGCTCCAAATGTAAATTTGTTTGATTTTATGTTTCAGCTAGTCGGTTATGGCAAAGTTTTGTGTTCTACTGCGTACGAGTTCCAGTAAAACTCAGATGCTTTCTCTAAAGAAGAATATAATTATTTCAGGAATATTAACTTTTTTGTAGTAGATTCATCACGTTTACTACCCCGTTTGCACTTGACCTTTTGTGGCCTTTTGTCTTTTGTTTGTCATTCGTTAACAATAGGTAAAACAATGTAACTCATGTCCTTCAATCAGAGCCCCTGACCAAATTCCGGACAGTATAGAATTTCTGTCGCGGATCGGCGCAGACGTTCCTCGTAGTGGTGAGGAGCAAGGAGAAACGGCTATAATCGCATGCTAGAATAATTGAGAATTACTGCTGACAGAAGCAAACCTGTATTTATTTGTAACACATTTTCTTCCACTCTTCGCCAAACTAAGGAAAAAAGGAAAAAACCTGTTTCACCTTGTTGCCGTCCATCTTCATGACCGGTGTCCATCCTCCACCTCCACATCCAAAATTTCCAAAGTGACAGAGAACTGAAACTAGTTTGGAGTCAAGGAGAAGAGTGACCAACTGAGTCACGTTCAACCTGTACAAAATGAAATCTCATTTTAATTTTTCCAGCTCCTAACTGTCGGAGAAAAAAATGGAATGTTCCTTAACTGGTTGTAAAAATAGTGAAAAATAAACCATGTAAATCGGGCTTCGAAGTCGTCAAACTTAAAAGAAGCCGTGACCGCCCCGGGGGGGAGGTACTCGATATATCCCTGAGTAGGGAGGTGCGGCGCGGCCCCTCATATCCTGACCCTGTTTAAGACAAATATCGCTGTACCCTGTTTAAGACAGAATTCCGATTTTTGATACCCTGTTTAAGACATTTATCCTGTTTAAGACAAAAATTGATAAATCGATACCCTGTTTAAGACAAAAATCCCGAAAAACATACCCTGGCTGGCCGCACATCCCCATTAAGCCCTTATAAGGGAGTACCCCCCCACCCCCGGGCGTGACTGGCATTGATCGCTCGACCAAAACAAGGTCATCATTTCAAGCAATTTAAGTTCCAAATTCGAAAGTGTTCGAGCGAAGAAATATATATAGATCGGCGTTAGAAAAGTACTCCTTCGCGGATGTTGGCCCTTGCGGAGCGTCCAAGCCCTTCTTGCAGTTGCAAAACGTTTTTTCATCCGTGCCTTTATTTTGTATTTCCTGTTCTTATACCTTCTATTAATGTTTTAAGTGCATGGTTACCGATAAGGTTATGTTTCAATCAGTTTAATGGCAGTTGCCACTGCGGCATCCTGCGTAGCAGTCGTCTGCGTTTCCTTTGAGCCAAGAGGTAGAAACGAGACGCCCAGTGCCCAATGCCCTCGCACATCTTTTAGTGCTTGAGGCACTTGTCTTAAACGAAAACGATACGACTACTAGGCAGGCTGTTACTATTGATAAATTTCCTGACACAGCTCCTTTACCTCGGTGGGCACAGAGAACCTTTCTAGGATGGAAAACAAAGGTTGAAAGGATGCATCAGCCATTATACACGTCGCGTGCGGTCCTAATATCAAAACTCTCTGTACAACAAACTGTAGCTAGAAAACTTTTTACGGTCAACTTTTTTACGAAAACGATTAAAAATTTTACTTTTTTACGCTTCATGACTAAAACTTTTGGCTGTTTTATAGTGTACGAACAGCCTCATCGGGACTCTATATTTTATTTTCTCCTATATAGATCGTTTTCACTGTCACGCAACAAAAAAAATAAATTGGAAACCGTCCAGTGAAAGAAGCCAAGAAAATGATATGTTATAAAAGACTAATTTTTAAACAATTTGTCCAAGTCTCAGGTCTTTTTGGCCCACAGTTTCTGAGTTATTTGCCGAAACGTTTCACGCATCTTTGTAGAGCTTTGCATGGAGACGCCATATTGGTGCACAGTTTTGGTGCACCAATATGGCCGCCGAAAATCAACAAAAACATCTGGAGTTCACTTTTTCTATAAAAGCTCCTTCTTTTCACTCGAGAACTAGCCTACGTGCGCATAAACATATCTTCTAATACCTGAAATGTTTATACTGCTGAAAATCAAGGGGAGAGACCTTTTTTTCAACGAGACAGAATTCCTATTTTGGTGTCACGCACTCTGAAAACTCGGAAGTTCAAATTGCTGTATTTTCGGAATGAAACATGCTACGGGACTGAAAACTTGTACAAAGATTAACTTTTTGTTTATCTTCAACTTAGTGTAAATAAGAATTCGTAAAACCTCGCTATTTTGACTTTACAATTTGATGACGTCACTGTGAAAGCCATCTATAATTTTATTATTATTTAAATCAGTAGTGATACTCACTTTTCCATGAGCTGATCATAAAGGACTTGACATGACTTTGCAACTGAAAAAAATTTGAAACACAAACTCAACTTAGATTTTCTCTTACTTTACCAAGAACCGATAATTAAGGGAGGAGGGGGGATAAAGGACAAGACAACATTCAAACCACAGGTTACCCACTTTCCTTTTACGGGTCTTTGCCTTTTTGTGTGAGACAGATAGCCTGCGTGGCAGGCGTTCGAAAGGGAAGGGAAAGGGAACTAAGGCGCAAGACCACGCGCGAGGGAGGAGGGAGGAGGGGAACGCCTGCAAGGAAGCCATTGTTTTCGCCATCCCGCCTACTAGTTAAAAAAAAATAACAAAAATAACGCAACTGTGAATGACTAGCTGTCAAATAAGTCTGGTCGCGATGCACGTATTCTAGTCGTATTTCTATATCTCGCACTGTTTTTCTTTTATTTTCCTAAAAAAAGAAATCGAAAGTAAAGGTACTATAAAAAAGTTCAAATGCGGTCGTCCATCGAAGGAATCTTCCTTGAAAGTTGCAACGACGCGTGCCGAGTTACATAAAATCCAGGATAAATCTATTCAAGTTGTTGCTGAAGGAATCGGGCAGGAAAACTAATTAATAAGAAATGTAACGGCTCTTCGCAACTTAGTCAATGCAATGTTTGTCTAACAAAAATTTAAACACTTTGCCGTCACGCACTCTTTGAATTTCTATCAGGACGAACTGGATTCAGCGGAGCACACAAAAGAACACTGGTGGCGGGGCAAGAAGAGCTGAACTTCGCAGATCGGCAAGAAGGCAACAATTTATTATTACAGTAAGTTCCTGCCGGTTTTATAACCGGCAAGAAGAAGTCCTCAACCAAAAATCGCCAAAAGTTATGGCCCGCTTCGTCTTTGCCGTTGATAACGAGGGTCAAACAGCAGCAAGAGCCATAATAGGACCTGTCCTATTATGGCTCTTGACAGCAGATAACAAGCACACAGGCAGCATGATTTTTCCTTTCTTTCTTCTGGCGAGTAAAACCGACAAGCCGTTGGGAGATGATACTTTTCAGAACCAGTCTGTAAAACTCATCTGCTGACAGGCCTTTTCCTTCACACGGTTCTTTAACTGCTATTTTCTATTCTCCTTTTAAGCTGAAATTGATGCCTTCTAACGATGAATTACCGTAGAGAAATCTCATCACGCTTCACTAATGACATATGTTTAGTTACTCAATGGCGTGATGTTGATTTCAACCAATCGGAAAAAGGTATTAAGTCGAAGATTGACATTTAATTAATTCTGACCAGTCACTATTTTCACGCTCAGAATCTGAGCGTGAAAAATGGAGAAAATAATGGCGTCCTTGCAGGCGTTCCTTTTTCCCTCGCGCACCCAAATTCCCCATTCCCCTTCCCCTTTTAACGCCTGCTACGCAGGCTATGAGGCAGACTACGTTTGGATTCACACCACATCCAGCTGCTCTAACCACCCGTTTCTTTAGCCACGTTTCTTGTACCACTTGTGACGTCATCAGTTTTCTTTTAAATTGTTAAAATGAAGCGAAGTAGAAAAGGACGGAGGAAGAAAAGCAAAAGAAGGGGGGAGGAGAGAAAGCGACAGGTGAACTTGACGGGGAAGTTCGACAGTTTTTGTTGGAAAGAAAATGATTCAAACTTCGACGGTCATGTCAGCGCCGGTTTTGTTCCACTTGACCGATTTCGGCTGGGTGGTGACAAGAGAGAAATATACTTTTGAGAGTAAGACACATTAATCTACAGATGCACCAAAGCAGGCCTAGCTAGGATAAAAAGACGCCAAGAGAAGATTGTTTGCACGTTGCACACCTGACTATATCAGGGACGACGGCTTTACTATTTATGCTGCCTTGAACTGATGTACAGGGCGGCGGTACAGCAATTACCTTCACAGAATTCTCCATAAAACCCATCCTTGCAACGGCAGTCAAACGTGTGATACTTGTAGTTCGCTACACAGGTGCCCCCGTTCTGGCACGGTGATGACATGCAAGGAGTCTGAAATAGTAATAAAAAATTTTGATGTCATATGATTTCTTTTCATTCAGGTAATTTTGTTCGTAGGTTAAGTGTTGAGGCAAGAAAATAGGGAGAAAGTGACATTGGACTGAATAACTTCGACGTCTTATCGTCAGTCACTTTTACGCCAGTTCCTGTTCGATTTCTTAGCTGATATTCTATATAAAGAACCTTAATTTTATAAAGAATTACGGCGACGAAAGTATCTTATATTTCAAGACACATTATTAAAATCGCGTAGACCTGATATATAAAAAATATCTTACTTTAATAACCTCTATACAAAGATTTTACCCCACCTTGATGGAAAAGTGATGAAAACTCTCGTTCCTTTTATACTCCTCAGGATTGCTGTACGTTTGTGAGGATAACAACTCACACCACAACTTTCCATCTGCTCCTTTGTAAGCTGCCAAGTTGAAGGACAAACAGGAAGGATTGCCGAGGCATTCAAAGGTGCAGTCAAGACTGTCATACACTGTGAATGTTCCAACTTTAGGAACGTTTAAATGATGGTACTCGTCCTTTATAAAAACATCTTGACGAAGACTGTGATGATACATGGTGGTAAATTCTGAAGAATCATTAATCAAGAAAGAATGAAGGGTTTAATTTACCTCTTTATGATGCATGGGTCGTGCATATAAGAAACCTCTTAATTTAGGAGGGAGTCCCTGGCTTTATGAATGGTTTTTAAAAAGGAACGCGTTAAGTGAACTGGAACTAAAAAACTTTACCTGAAAGTAAAGCCTAGAGGTCAGGGGAAGAAAAATGTGGAATTATCATCTTCATCGAATTAGGGATTTTTCTGGCAGTTCTACAGTTATTTAATATTTATGACTTTTAAAGCCATGCAGTTCTTTAAATCATACTTTTTGTGAGCTTTAAAACTGAATAAGACTTACTACGTTTGAAGCAGCCGCTCGTTTAATGAAAACATAGCTTACAGCTCCGCAAGTGCATCACACTTTGGGGCACGCTTCTTAATCTGAAGTCCAATGCACGGCTTCGACGCGAAGCCGTTCCTAATACGACATTTTGTGGAGGACGTGAATTCCCACATGACGACGAATTTTCCTTAATTAATAGTCTTTCAAAAAAAAAAAAAAAACTCGGATACGGTCCTTAAGAATCCAACTCCGGGAAAAGTCACATGCATTTAACACATTTATCGAACCTAAATAAAACATAATCGCGATAGAGTTTAAAGGAACGCAAAACTATGATAATTCGTAATATTTGCTTTTGTCCTAGTTGCTAAAGCTCCCTTCCCCGTAAAACAATAGGAACTGTTATACATTTTTCTAACATGCCGGCCGCAATATTTCAGAGATTTTTAAAGTAACCAAGCGAAACCGATAAAGAGCCAAGTTAATTGGTGACAAAATGCAATCCGCAGGCGTTGTTTTACATGCGTATCGTACGTTATAATGAGAAAAATGCGTCTCCATCTTTCCACTAAATTATACTAAGCAAAAAAGGTTATTCCCATGACCAATTTTACTCGACTATCAATAAAATAAAGCAAAGAAAAACCAGCCTTCCAGTTGAGCAAAGACTGCATTAGGTATGACAGAAAACAACGGAAGGAGGCAGAAGGATAAGGAGAACATCTGCGATTGGTAAAACGGTTGGCAAACTTCGTAAAATCAGCGGATGAACTTGACAAACACTGCCAAAAACAATGTTTTGTAAAGTGATAGCCTTTCTAAAAACCGTCAGTTTATATATGCAATATTAAGCGTTTTTTATTCATGACTCTCTTTGTCCGGTACGTCTGTTCAGTCAGGCTGGACCAATTGATGACAAGTCTTAAATTGAAACCTCGACCAATGCATTGTTTACGCCAACGTCACGATTAACAATCTCTGGAAAAACACACATTCTTAGAAAAACAAGATAAAAAATTAAAGTCATCTGGATATTTCCCCCTTAAAGGAAACGTTACCAAAATGAATAATCTCTTTTTTTAGCTCCAAGGCTCTCTGGCTTTGAAAATATCTTAGTTTTCTGCACTGCAAATAAAATATGGCTTTATATCAAAATACGTCTTCTTTAATAGGGGAATATTAATTCAATTGTTTCGAGCGTCAACTTATAAGTTTATTTTTCTTTAGTTAAATGTGAATATACAACATAAAAAGCATAAAACTAAGACGAGCTTACTAAATTACTTTTAGTGTGATTTGTGGAGGAAGGAAGGTTACATTTTAGAAAAGACTTGATGTTAAGTCTTTTCGTAAATGCCTTATTCTACCATCGATGACGTCACCGGTCTGAATAAAAGCGGTACCCAATCAGTAGCCATCCCAAATTCGTTCTCTGTGTGTCTAAAAATCTTATTTCCATGATTGCTTTTCCTTTCAAAAAGAATTAACATGGAATCCTCTATATTCCTTTTGACAAGCAAACAGATGATAGGTTCCCATTAACTTTAAAAAAGTTTTGCAGTTTTTCGACCAAATTAGTTAAATTTTTAAATTATGCTTTTATTAGTCTATATAAACAGTATCTTTTTGACGACTTGCCAAATGAGAAGAATGTACTGTTCAATAAGGTTTTAGAAACCATGTGAGTTTTTTTGATCATTAGTGCTGTTAAGTTATGTTTAGTTTATGGTCTCAAATATTTAAGTACGACTGTTGCATAAGTTCATGCAACTTAGATAGCTTTCGTCAATTTGTTCAAGTTACTCCTTTGGGCCAACACTAAATTTTATTTTAAAGAAAGTGGATGGAATCATGCTATCAACAGAGAGGAGAAGTCGTTACGTCACGTTGCCATGGTAGCAAAATTTCTGGACGACAACAAACCGAAAACTTTACTTAAAAAGTGAATTCGCACAGTTTCAAACTTCATCGATTTTATTCCATTTCATTTAATTTGTCAAATATTGGCGACATTATTTCAGGTGTTGAATCCGAAAGGACAGAATCTAAGTTTACTAAAAGGAAAAGAAAATTGCTATGTTGTGTTCACCTGCTCTATAAAGTGGGCAGGTGAAATGAAGAAGTTTAATGTCGCAGTCGGGCGAGGTAGGAGCATGGTTGTAAAGTTTAGATACTACGTTATAATAGGCGTCTGTGCATACAAGAAAAAGGCCGGTCCAATTATCATCTAAAAACCGTAAGAGTAGAGAACATGTTTTCTACAAAAAAGGTACTTTTAAAACCCTCGAAAGTAGACGGTGTGGATAAATATCACGATTTATTTTAAAAAGTCCTAACCTGCTGAGGTCTTTCTGAGTTTTTTCCTAGACGATAAAACATCAGCACGCGACGTTTTCAGTAGCTGTTCGTTTATCCCTCGCGCGCATTTTGAGACAAGTTTTTAGTTAACAAAACAGAGCCAGTTATATCTCAGGTTAATCCATAGAAAGAAAAATTAGCTTCGATATCCCATGGAGACCTTTTTTCTCTTTTTTAATTCGTCTTTTGTTACATACAAAGCAACAGAAGTCATGCCAGTCTATGTCCTTCTTCGGGGGTAGATTAGCGGCATCATTTGAATCTTGATATTCATGTTTCCTACCGTTTTAGTCTCAATGATTTATGATTCTTAATACAAGTCGAATTTTCTTCCAGATTCATGATTCACAAAGACTTTTGGTCACCTAATGACTTAATTATTTTCTCAGTGGCAACTTGGTCTCGTTTTGTACAGCTTCTTTGGTGTTCAACCTTCTGCTTCATCCAGACCATCATTCGTTTTGTCTAGGTATGGAGTTTATTTGTAAATTACTGAACATTAAGCACCATTACTTAAGAAACAAGGTGACTGTTAGCCCCAAATGCACGAATTATATAGGCGGGTCCGGGGGCATGCTCCCCCGGAAAAACATTGAAAATTGGACTCTCAGAAACGCCATATCATACATATCTGGATCGAACGCAATTAATTCAGGCGTGCATTTTGTTGAGCTTTTCTCAGAGTATCGTTATTCATGGTTACCGAACCGAATTACAAATACCTTAAGATTCATGATTCCCAAGTTGTCGGTTAACATGATTCTGACATGTTTTGATTGATTCATGCTTCATGATTCCGCTCCCACCCTCGATCTTTCAATATCAATTCATGTAAAAAAATATTAAAACTTACCTTCCATTTGAGCAAAAATCGCATTAGGTATCACAGAAAACAATGGAATGAGGGGCAACAAGCAAAAGTAAGAAGAGAACATCCCCGATTAGTGAGGAGACTCTTCGAGAACTCCGTGAAATATAGGAACTTGACAAACACTGTAAAACGCTGCCTATTTGGTAAAGCGATAGGTGTTCTCAAAAACCATCAATTTATATGCAATATTAAATGTTCATTATTTATGAATTTCTTTTCAATCGTGTGTCTGTCGCTTCAGGCGGCCAGCCTAATGAAAGATCATCAATCGAACCTGAGTTGTTATTAGATACTTTAAGGTCCAACGACGGAGTAATAGAACGCCACTTAAAAAGTCAATTTGCGTTCTTTCAGTCTTAATAGCGATTATTCCTACCCACCTACTTTGTCAATTGCAGGCGAACCCTCCTAAAGCGGAATTTCAAGGGACCATTATTTAAGCTCAGAAAGAGAAATAAAATTTCGTCGTTGCTTGTTTACGTTCTCCATTAAACGCGAAATTAGGCATTTTCACGTTGAAGTCGTGCAAAAAAGGAAAAGAAATGTACAAAAAAGTGTGATGCATGTGCAAAGTTTTTGTTTTGCTCATTAAACCTATCGTTTTTTATGACATTCTCGCTGCCGTCCACGTCGTTGGATCTTCAAGTCCCTATTATGTCTGATCAACGCGTCTGTTGTATTACATACTTAGTAAACAATCTTTGGAAGCTGAGAGATGCTTACCATTCACACAAACCACCCGCCGCGGGTGGAAAACTTGTGCATAGATATAAAACTATTGACAATTTTACCGAGAGCATAAAGTATCTTGTTTACACCCCAAAATGTGCCATAATCGTTGTTTTCGATTTCCCTTGGGGCGACTGTATTAAAAGGAGAAAAAAACTGGAAACAATGGTAATGAAAAATTTGGTGGGAGGGGGAGGGGGAAGCCGTAAACAAGGGGCACAATTATGGTCTCGGCGAAAATGGTGAATAAAGTTTGAGAACGAGCCGCAACAAATTATATCCAAATCGGCTGAACAGACTAAAAAAACTACAAACATTGCTTCGTCTTAAATCTTCGCTGAACCTTCCTAAATGGAATGACACAAACCATTTGATTTTCAAACCGGAATGTCCAGTTTTCCCATATAAATGGTAAATTACACAGTCAGGTGTTCCACCCTGAGCTGTAAGCCTTTTTGACGCCTTAAACAGCAAGAAGAAATTAAAAGTAAAACATAAATGCTTGAGTCACGAAATGGATTAATATATTAGATTCCGAGAAATTGCAAGTTACGTTCAAAATTTATTGTTGGAAAGATCAGATTCAGTGCTAACTAAATATTTCATTAACATATTCAAAACGGTTTTCCTACTATTTCACGATTTCTTTCTTTTGTTTGTAATTGTCAAATATGTTTAAGACCTTCTTGACACCTTTCAATAGACAAAATGACAGATGCAGTAAATTTTAATGCAACCTAAACCGCTCAAGAAA